AGAGGGCCCTGCGAGGCCTCTTCCCCGAGCTGCCCCCGGCGGCCCCCTCCCCGCATGGCAGCCAGCCTCTGGCCTCCTCCACGCCATTCCTGCAGGCTGCCGCTCGCCCCCAGCCATTCGCCTTCACTCCTCCCGCTGCGCCTCCTGCCCCCGGCGGGGCCCCCGTGGGGAGCAGCCCGGCCGTGGCCCGGCCGTCCCTCGCGCTGCCGCAGCCCGGCACAGAAGCCTCGGCGCCTTCGGTCCTGCCCGCAGAGAGCCAGCTGGCGGAAGAGGTGCCTCCCGAGCCGAGAGCCAGGTGAGCCCCAGGGAGAAGGCTGCCGGGGGTGGGGGCTGTGGGCGCGATGTCTGGGGAGCCTCCTGTCCTCCCTGGTCCCTCGGCCACGGTCTCCGGGCCGGGAGCCACACCGTGCCCACCAGTGGTGGAGCGCAGGCCAGCCGCCGGTCTGTCCTCGCAGCTGCCCAGCCTGGTGGGGTGAACTTCCTCTTTCCTGCCCTGTGTGCTAAGCATGGCCTTCCCCGGTGACGTTTCCGGGCTGGGCCGAGGCTCTCGTGGCAGGCCTCTGCCACGGAAGGCGGTGCACCGTGGCCTGGGGGCCGTGCCGAGCCCTGGCCAGGCCTCCCCAGCTGGGCGGCCACGGGACAGAGGCGCTCTGGGTGCGGGGTGGCGCGGGGCGGGCAGGGCCCGTGCGTGTCTTGCAGCCGTGGAGGCCGGGGAGGAAGTTCAGCCCAGTAGCAGTCAGGGGGCTGCCTTCCCCCGCAGGGAATGGCACCCGCGGCAGCACAGCTGGTGGGGCGTTTCCGTGGCACCGGGTGAGGCTGCCCGGCCAACGGGCCGCCTCTGCCACATGTGGGCCGGCCGCAGCGGCCCTTTGCCGGCTGTGCTTGGAGAACGCCAAGCGCCTATTTGGGGCCATGTGGTGCCAACACGGGCGAAAACGCACCACGGCTGCGCCCCAGAAAGCGAGCTCGCCCACAGGACCCACAGGCACCCCCCGGCGAACGCGAGCCGGTGCCCTCGCTCCTGGGCTGCCCGCCTTCCGCTGCCCTGGCCTGCCCTGCCCTGCCCTGCCCTGCCCACGGCCCCTGGAGTGGGAGGAGGCTCAGCGGCTCCCAGGGCTTCACCCGTTGCTGGGACTGGTCCCAGGCAAGTCCAGGTGCCGGGCCAAGGTGTGCGGCTCGTGTGGCGAATCGGGCGTGCTGTGTGACCTGCGGGCCTTTGTGGCAGGACGGCTTCGCCTGCGGGCAGCCTCCCGGTCGCTCCCCTGCGGTGGGCAGGGCAGCCGCCACCCCTTCCCTCTGGGGTGCTGCGAACGCTTTTCCCACCCCTCTGGGTGGGGCACGAGGACTTGGGTGCAAAGAGGCCCACGTCTCTCCTTCTGCCCCCCCAGCAAACAGCCCTGTTGTAACGTGTCCGCCTGAGCCTTGTGGGCTCGCGCTGCGGCTGTCGGGGAGAGTTAGGATCTGAGTTCAGGAGCTCTCTGTGTTGCACAGGGCCGAATGCATTTCTGGGGAGTGCTGCTGCGGGGGCGGGGGGGGGGAGAGGTAGTATTTCTGGAAACTCTCCCATCTAGCAGGCATTTTGGGAAGGTGCAAATAGAAGTAGGTGCCGGAGGTCAGACTAGATGGCCCGGGAGGCCCCTTCTGACTCGCTCTGTTTTCTATGTTTCTATGAATGGCGGTGTTGTGTCAAGTGCTTCGCAGGCGGTCTTCCACATGCTGCAGCTGGCCTGGGGCGGGGGCGGGGGCGAGGGCGAGGGCGAGCTGCGTGCGCCTGGAGCTGCTTGGGGTTCGTGGAACCGCAGGGGAGGCGCAGGGCCGGGTTGCTGCACAGCTCGGGCTTCGGCCACGACGGGGCACGATGCGTTCGTGCAAATGCAGGCGGGGCGTCCCGGCGGAGGCGAGGCTGGGCTGCAGCGCCAGCGGCACGGAGCCCCGCTGCTTGCGGCCTGGCACCTCCGATCCCTCGGCGGTGTTTCTGCGGTGCGCACAGTGGCCCGCGGACGCGGCCGGCGCTGCAGCGGGGATGCGGAGGCTGCAGTGGAAGCTGCTGGGGCGGGGGTGTCCAGGAGGCTCGGCAGGCGAGCCCCTCCAGCCGGTGGCTTCCCGAGCGTGGAGGACCAGCCATGGGACAACCTGCTCCCAGCACTCAGAGCTCCCTTGTGCTTCCACGGACTGAAATCCCGCCTGGAGGCTGGAGCGGTCCCCTTCAGCCAGCATTCCAGCCGACTGCCCCGCTCGGTCCTGATCTCCCACAGCAGCGCTGGCTTCGGGCTTGGCTGAGCCGCCTTAATTAACCGCTGCATTTCACAGCTTAATGCGGAAATAATGGGATGGATTAGGGTGGCTTTCGGAGGTCGAGGGCAATTGTGGTCTTGGTTCCTTGTTGCCTTGACGCAGGAGCCACGGACCCCTTTGTGATGTTGGAGGGCCTGGAGGCAGGGAAGGGGATGCTGGAAAATCGGCCCGGCGCAGACCTTCCCCGTAGACAGGCCAGAACTGCCGCGGTTTGGCTGCCTGGCCGCCCCCTGCCTCCCCAGGAGGGCCTTGCCTGCTGCGCCTGCCCCTTTCGGCTTCCTGCTCCTGGGGCGCTCTTGATTCCGGCCCACAGGGCTGACCTGCCGGGCAAAGCGGCTTTGGAGGGGGGCTAGAAAGGCCACTGGGCTGTGGTGGCGGATGGGAGGAGCCGGGCTGGCCGGCCCAGAGACCTGCATGCAGGAAGCGCTGGCCTGCCCGGGGCCGCATCCAGGACGGGGGCTTGCGGGTCTTGGCGGATGCGTCTTGTGCCATGTGCTGCGGGGAGGAGCTTGCCCAGGGCTCACGCACCCAGCTTGCCTCGGCTGTGCGAAGTGGGCCGGGCGCTTGGAAAGGCCCCCCTGTGCCCGGGGTGCAAGTCTTGGCTGCGGAGAGGGCTTGTGCTTCCCTCGCTCACCGCGCGCACCGGCTCGCCCTGCTCGGCCGCCTTCCTCTCGGAGGCTCCAGGCATTGTGTGGCTGCGGGGAACCTGGCCGGGCGCGGCAGCGGGCTTGGCGTGAAGGGGCCTCCGCCGCTGCCTCGTCCTCCGCCACGGGCGGCAGCGGAGGATCGTGGCCCGCAGAGCAGTCTCTGTTGCTGTGGCTGCTGTTTTGTGCTGGCGAGTTGTCTGCGACTTAAGGGGACCCCCTGAATGGCAGCCCTCCGCTTGTGGCCGCCCGCTCAGCTTCTGCAGCCTTGCACAAGTCGCTGCGGCTGCCCCTTCCCGCCCGCGCAAGCCAAGCCCAGCGCCTTCCTTGGTTGTGTGTGTCAGACTTGGAGGTTAAAAGAGGGGCTGCCTGCTGCAGAGGAGGGTGTGTGTCGGGGGAGGAGGTCCTGTGGGTTGTGTGAACCAAGTCCAGCCTGCCTGCCTTGCTTTCATCATGTGTTTGCATTATCTAATGGCTGCTCTTCAGAGTAAGTTCTCACAGCTTAAAATTCAGCAGAAAGCAAGTCTCAGAGCGAGCAGAATTCCCACGTGAGAGGCAACCGCCTCCGAAAGGTGCGGAGCCACCTGGGAGCTTCCTGGCTGGGCTGGGACTCGTGGGGGGCCTCCTGAGCCCCAGTTCAGGGCTGGGGTCACAGCTGCCCTGGCTCTCCTGCAGGAGCCACGCTTGGGGGAAAAGCCTACAGAGGCCCTGAGCCACGCTTGATTTTGGGGGCGTCCTTCTGGTGCCCAATTACAACCCTCGTCTCACTCGTGCCGGGATACGGACTGGAAGCCCCGGAGCTCTTCCGAAGGCTGCAGCCCTTGCTCCTTCTGGCCAGGCCCAGCTGTGGCGGAGTCCAGCGCCGGGTTGGCCGCCTGCAGTTCCCAAACAGTTCGGGGAGCCGCTGTGGGCTTGCACAGCCACACGCTTGTCGCCACACGCCCTTGCCAGCCAGCGTCCGGGAGGGAACCGAGACGCTTGGTGCGCAGAAGCTGGCCGCGGCTGCCAGCAGAGGGCGCCGTTGGGCCACGGATCGCCTCGGAAGCCTCGCCGAGGGGGCCGGGCCGGGGGGGCCTTGTGGGTCAGCCTGCTGGAGAGGAGAAGCCCGCTGAGGCCGGCAGGGGGCTGTCCTCGGGTTTGCTTGTGGGAGCTCTGTGTGCGTGTGGCTCTTTCCCGCCCCGAATGAGCAAGGGGGTTGTGTGGTTGTGGGGCCAGCCGCTGAAGCGGTCCGCTTCCCCCAAGAATTTGACCCGCAGGCGGCCTGAGGGGCTCATTAGCGACCTGAAGCCAGGGCCGCGCGGGCCCCAGCGGCTCCGGATGGGCGGGGAAAGAGTCCTCGCCGTTTCCCCCAACGGGGAATGGGCGGCACCGTGGCGGATCAGGGCCCGTGGGGGCACCTCATGCGGGTTGCACGCATGCTCGTCCAGCCGGAGACGTGGGTTGTGGTGGCACTCGTGGGGAGCGGCTGCCTGCCTGCTTGGGCCACGAGACGCGAGGGGCTCCCGGCCTGGGAGGGCAGCTCAGGCCTGGCGGCGCCTGCTCGCCTGCCTCGGCCGTGTGGCTCTTCTAAGGGACGCGGGATGGGAGTGGGGAGCGCTGGGCGGGCGGGCAGGGGCTCCTGCGGACTGGAGAGAGGCTTTTGGGGGCCGGAAAGGAGGTGTGGGGCCCGGCTAGCCCGGACGAGGCCACTGCACCCTCTTTGTGAGAGATGCCTGGGCTAGCGTGCCCCTCTAGTCGGTGGCTTCCTGCTGGGGAGCAGCAGTGGCCACGCCTTTCCCAGGGGTTTGCGATGCCCCCCCCCCGGACCGCTTCCTAGATGTGTGGGGGGGCATGAAGCTGCTTCTCACCCCTCCTGTTAAGTGAGGCTTCCTTTTGTACCGGAAAGGCTACTGCGGTTGCTTTTGGGGTCCTCCTCCAGCCCCGCCACCAGCATCACGATCGCCAAGACCCCACGCCTCGAGCAAGCAGCCCTCCTGCTGGGGGTGGGGGGCTGTGGCTCCGGCCCCCCACGGCCGGTGGGGAGCGGAGCCTGACGCCGCTCTCTCGCTCACTTGCCTGCAGCCCGCACCCGGTGAAGCCGCTCAGCAGCAGCAGCAGCGCCCCGGGACCAGCGGTTTCCAGCCAGGAGAAGCTGCAGCGCACGACCCCCGACCGGAGCGGCGGCACCCAGGAGACCCACACGCCGAGCGCCACGAGCAGCCGCGATTCAGCCAGCCCAGCCTGGCAGCTGGGACGACCGGAGGCCAAAAAGGTAAAGCGGGGGGGGGGGCTCGGAGCTCCCGAGCACATGAGAGAACGGAGGGGTCGGCCTTTTATGTGCTGTGCCCCCAAGGCCTCCATTTTGCGTCCACTTGGGAGATTTCCTTTCTTCACCACCCCACCCATCTGCCCCAGAAGACAGGGTGCCCCCACCAGGAGCGCGTTCGCAGGAGCGGAGTCCCGCCGTTCTTGCTTTCCATGCTCCTGGCGTCCCGTCCTCCAGCTCACATGCCTGCGCAGCACCCTTTGTGTGGAAACAGTGCGCCTGCTGAAACATCCTCGGGCGCCACTGGTGTTCCTGCCCTGGCTCGCCCTTGGCCTGCTGCTGGCCGAAACAGGCCAGGCCCACCAGGGAAGCCCAGACGCAGAGCTGGAGGGGGCCAGGAGGCCTCGGGGCCACCCCCCACCCGGCTGCTGCAGGAGACCAGTTTGCTCTGCCCCCCCAGGGGGCTGCCCTTCCACGCCTGTGCCGGGCGAGGCACCTCCTTTTCCGGGCGCCGCTTAGAGCAGGCTGGCCTGACGCGCTGCACGCACGGCGCCTTCCAAGGAAGGAAGAGCGGCGGCTTTCTCTTAATGCCACCAACATCTCATCCCCTCGGCATCTGTGGGGTTTAAAGCAGCAGCAGCAAAGGGAATGTCAGGCGAGGGGCTGAACGCATCACTTTTGCCGAGATGATTCGGTTGATGTGTACAAAAAATCAGAATGGGCTCCACACAAGCCGCACCCTCGTCTGCGGCCCGAGGCGGATGTGGGGTCACTCCCGTCTCACCCTGGCGACCGACCGTGCAGCCGAGGTGGCGACCTCCTGGACTACCCAGCGAGGGTCACGGTGGGCCCGGGCCTCGGGCCTGGTACTCGGGCAACGGCCATGGGAGGTCAAGTTTCTGGAGGGAGGCTGGAGAAATGGGGGTGTTGGGTGGCTGAGCCCAAAGGGTTCCTGTGTTTTATGTGGCCTTACAGGCCTCCTCCGCCCAGCTGCAAGCAATCGCCCAGCCGCTGCTCCGGGCTGCGCCGTGGTGGCCCTCGCGCCCACCCACCTCTGCCCGAGCAGGTCCGCGGGTCACGGGGGGTTTGCCCGCTGACTGGTTCCTCTGCCCCCAGGAGCCTTCCGCGCCGGACCCCTCAGCCAAGTACTTCCACCTGACGCACGATGAGCTGATTCAGCTGCTGTCGAAGCGGGAGGCCGAGCTGCGCGGGAAGCAAGAGCACATCCAGGAGCTGGAGAACTACATCGACCGGCTCCTAGTGCGCATCATGGAGCAGTCCCCGACCCTGCTGCAGATCCCCCTCGGAGGGGAAGCGAAGGCTGCCAAGTAGCCGCCCCGGCTTCATCTCGTGCCTCTGCCAAAGCTCCCACAGCCCCCCCCCCGCAGTTCCTCACCCGCGCAGCGTGCCCCTTGCCCCCAGACCCCGGGAGAGGCCCCTCGGGGCGCCCCCCAGAGCCAGCCTCTCAGTCCAGTCCCGCCCTCGTGCGCGGCGGCCAAATGGGGCTTCCCGCCCGAGACGCAGGATGCCGCCGGGACCGCGGCATCGCTCGCGCCTCCTGCCGGAGCACCGCACCCGGCCTGCCACCGTGCGAGCCCACTGCCTGTGTGTGACTGTCCGCTGGGCCCCACCGGAGCCCGGCGTTTCCCTTTCCTCCCGGTGAGTGACTGGCCTGCCGTCCGCTTTGCCATCCTGCGTCCCTGGGGGGCCTTGCTTGGGGGAAGGATGCCCCCGACACGGCAGTGGTCGAGCGGAGCAGAAGCCTTGTGGAGCGAAGGGATTCTCTCCCCTTGCCTCACTGTTCCTTGAGGACTAGTCACCCTGCCGCCTTGACCCGTGAAGCCTGAGCCGGCTGCCTGCCCCCGCAGCAGTCTGGGCCCTTGCTCTTGTTTCCGCTGGGGCAAAGGGGGAGGGACTGTGGCCTTGGCCCCAGGAGGGGGGAGCCTTCGGCAGAATGTCTCCACTGCATGCTGGAATAGGTTGCACTCCGTCTCCCTTTCCGAGCCTTTCCCCGCGCAATGTGGAGGGCGCCGCTTCGTGGCGCGAGGGCATTGTAGCCTCCGCAGTCCTTTGCAGGCGCTTGTGGAGAAGGCCAGAGGATGGTGCCTTTCCCCTGGGGGGGCGGGTCGGCGCGCTTCTTCGGGCGCTGCAGCAAAGCCCCTGTGCGCCGAGGGTCCCCCGCGTCCCCCCTGCAGGGCAGGAGTCGAGGTGCAGCCACGTGCCGCAAAGCCAGCCAGCCAAGGGCGCCGGGGGCCTGGCTGCTGGGAGGAGGGAAGGCACGGAGGGCGTGATTTGGGGGCTCGCACATGGTCGCACCAGGCTGGGGGGGCTGTGGCGAGTTTGGACACCTCCTTAGTGGAACGGAGGTCTTTTTTCAGCTTTAAGGGCGGGATTCCCCCGAGGTTTGCTTCTGGGGGGCTCCTGGTTTAACTCTAGTTTGCAAATGCGTGTGTGTCCCCCAGTCACCCGAAAGACACGCACGAGCTGCCTTCGAAAGAGGGCGGGGAGGAGTGGGCAGCGCCCGGCTTGCTGCCCCCTCCCCCTGCGAGAACTGGCTTGCGCAGAAGGAGCATAAGCGGCTGCTCCCCTCGCACGGACTCGGTGGCTGGCGCTGAAGGCTGTGGAGAGGGCCAGGCTGCGGCACGGGGCGTGCTGGATGCCGCCAGCCGTCCCTTGGCCCCTTGCTGGGCTGCGGGCACGGGGCCTTGTTTCCCACAGCTTCCCTCCACCCCGGATCCCCGGCCTGTCAGATGCCGCAGTCCCTGCCCTGCGCAGCTTGGCATTTCCGCTGCCTGCCCTGCTGTTGCCTTCATCCTCGTTGAAGGGGGAGGGACTGGCTTGCCTCCTGCGGTGTAGCGGTTGTACGCAGGGGGATCCTTGCCCTGCCTTGTCTGCGAGGAGCAGAGCCAGCGCGGGGGCTGATCCCTGTTCGGGGAGCCCTGTCCGTGCAGCTCGCACCCACTCCCGGCTCCTCGGAGCCCAGCATGGCTTTTGCCAGCAGCCTTGGCTGCCGGCCACCTGCTCCCAGCCCCATCACGCTCTGCTCCCCTGGGCCGAGCTGCTGCAGGGGCTGGGAGGCCACGCAGGCCTGAGGCTGCCCCAGCCCCTGCTCTGCATCCCAGGGGTCGCCCCCCGGAGCCCCTGTGCCTCCAAGGCTTCAGCCTGGCTGCTCTCCTTGCGCCCCTTTCCCAGCTTCCATGCAGGACTTGCAACGGGCCGGTTTGCTCTGCCGCTTTCCTCAGTGTCTCTGGACCAGCCAAGTCCTCTCCCTGGAGCGACTGCAGGCCTTGGACATCTGGGGCCTTTGGGGCTCGAGCAGAAGTGTTTGGGCGGGGAAGGGCAAGTCGGCTGGAAAGCTGCTGAGCAGGAAGTCGCGAGCCGGAGCTTTTCTCAAGGGGCCCGACTGGCCCATCGCGCCTTCCATCTCTGCAGTGCTCCAAGCTCTTCCCTTGGCCTCCTGCAGAACCTTGGAGCTGGAACTTCCCGGCCCCTTTTGCTCAGGGTAACCGGAACTTGCCATCCCCGTTGATGCCCCACAGCCTGCAGGTGCTGGTGAGAAGCGGGGCGAGCAGGGGCGCTCCGAGGGGGAGGAGGGTGGGCTGACCGGGCACCGGACAGGAGTGACGGGAGAGGACGCCACTTCTGCTTCACCTTTTCCTCGGCCTGCCAGAAACACTCACAAGCGACAGTTCCGTGTATAGCAGAAGTCCCCCCCCTCCGTTCGCGTCTCCTTGCATTGCCCCGAGCCTGCGGCCTCGCTCCTCTCCAGGGGACCGGCGGCCTCGCCAAACCAGGCGCCCGGAGGGTCTCCCGGCCCGGGAGCACAGCGGGAGCCCCCCGCCCCGTCAGCGGCCATGGGGGCGTTGGCCGGCCTTCGGGCGAGGTGCTCCTTGTATCGAGGCTCGTTGGATAATGTTCGTTTTAAACAATAAAGCTTGTTCTGTTTTAAGCACTTTAAAGAGAAATAAACATGGTTGAACTTGTTGCTTCGGCATTTCTGGCTGGCTTCTTGCGGGCGGGCTCCCCCGGGCGCGAAGGGGCGGCCGCTCCACGGCGGGCGGTTCCAGGGGATCCCGGAGGGGCGCCGGGAGGGCCGAGCCCGTGGGCGAGCGGGGCCGCCGGGAGGAGCCCCGGAGCTGGCGGAGGGCGCGGGACTGCCGCGGGACCGGGGCCACGCGCCCGGAAGCCCCGGAGGCCGGGCTGGGCGGGGGACCGGCCACCGCGGCCAGGGAGGCCGCGGGCGCTCCGGCGCGGGGGCCTCCGAGGCCGCGGCGCCCGCTCCGGCCGGCCTACCTGCCTCCTCGGCCCGGCAGGTGGGAACCGGAGGTCGCGGTCCGGCCGGCAGCCGGCGCGCCTTGCGCCCCGAGACCCTCGCGCCCTGCCGGGCTGGCCGCAGGCTGCATCCCGGCCCGGGAGCCCCGCGGCCCTCGCAATCCCCGGAGCAGGGCGCCCCGGCCGGCGGCCCCCGCGCACCTCGGTGCCGCGTCCCTGCGAGCCCCTGCTCGGCGCCACTCGCGCGAAGCAGCGGCGGCCGGGAAACTGCATTTCCCGTCATGCCCGTCTCCCGCGCTTGCGCGGCTCGGGACACCGCCTGCCGGCCAAGGGGCGGAGACTACAACCACCACCACGCTTTGCGGGAGTTGCGGATAGCCTCGGCCAATGGGAGGCGAACTTGGCGCTGGGCGGGGCAGCGTGGAGAAGGGGCGTGGCCAAGCGGCAGAGGAGACTTGCTTGTTTAAAGTGGAGCAGTGAGGGGGATGGCTGAGAGTCCCGGGTATCCGCCCTTCCAGCTGGGGAAGCCTCGCTTCGATCAGGTGAGCCGCTGCCTCGCGAATCCCCGGGAACAGGAGGGGGGCCCGTCACCCTGCTTGCTGCCGGCGCCCCCGTGAAGAAGCTTCGCCGCCGTTCCCTTGAAGAAGCGCTAGCCTGAGCGAGCCACGCCCCTCGCGGCTGGTCCAGCCCGCCAATTGGGCCGCGCCGGTGTCACTTGTCGACTCGGATTGCCGCCCTTTTCTGGCTGCGAAGAAGGGCTTCGGATTGGCGGGCGCGTTTGCCGCGGGCGGGCCTTGGGCGCCAGGGGCGGGGCTTCTCCCCCGGGCCCGAGTTCGAGTCCGGCCCGTGGTGGGGGCCGCACGTGGCCGGCGGGGGGGGCCGGCGGCGGCCTGACCGGCCCAGGGGCGCCTTCGCCGGCGTGGAGGCTCCGGGCTCGCCCGGTGGGGCTGGGCGCCGCTGCGCCCCGTCCGCGGGGCTCGGGCGGGGAAGGGCGCGGGGGTCCTGGCGGAGCGCGCGGCAGCCGTGCCGCTCGCGGCCTCCGCCGGCCGGAGCACCGCGGCTCCGCTGCTGCGCGCGAAGCCCCGGGAGGGTCGCGCGGGCCCTCGCCCCTCTGCGGATCCCGCGCAGCTGCCGGGCCTCTGGCGGAGGGAGCGCGGCGCTCAAAGTTCAGCCCGGGCGGGCCACCTGCTTTGCCCGTGGGAGCGAAGTCCGCCCTGGGCGGATCGTCCGCAGCCCGCCCCGCCTGGGCGACCTTGGCCCAGGGATGGGCTCCTCGCCGCCGGAGCGCAGGCTGGTGCCGCCCGTGCTTCGCGGGACCCCGCCTTGGCCCAGACAGACTCGCCGAACCGCGGCAGGAGGGCTGTGCAGGATCGGCCCGGGCCCCTCCCGCCGCCCGCCCGCCCTCCGTCGGCGCAGTAGCGGGGCCCCCGAAGCCGGGCGTGAGCGCAGCAGCGCCCTCCCCGCAGCCGCGTTCCCCAGGGACGGTGGACCAAGGCAGCCTCCCATCTGGCCGTGGCGTATGGCCATAGCCAGGATTCGCCACGCTCCCTGGCCTGGCTGGCCCGCATTCCGACGAGGTTGCTCCCACGAAGCTGCAGCCCCTTCCTTCAGCGCTCTGCTGAAGGGGCACCTGATTCTGGGGGCCAGTTTGGTGGGTCGCCAGGTGACCAGCAGCCAAGCATGTCCCCTTCTGGCCAGGCATTTCTGGAGAAGTGGAACCAAGGAAAAGAAGCCGAGCCGTCAGTTGCTATGTTGGCCCGAGCACTGTAGAACGGCAGCTTTTTGCTGACAGGTTGTATTTTTACCTGTGAAGTAGTTCCATGTTTGTGAGTAGTACAAGAGAAAATAGAGAGTTGTTGCTTAGTTAATGCCACCGAATCAGGTATCTGTTGTTCTTCCGTGCTGTCAGGGCATCTCCGACTTACAGCTACCCGGTGCACCAGTGACCTCCGGAAGGCCCTTCCTCGCCTGCCCAGCTCAGCGCTGTCAACTCCAGCCTCATGCAACTGCCCCCCCCCGGTGTGGGCCCCCCCTGCCCACCTCTGACGCCTCTGCAGCCAGCCTCGCCTCCCCATGGCGCCTGTGCGCCAGGCACGGCTGCCTCAGTGGCGTCCCTTTTGCTCCCGGGAAAGCTCTGGCGCGATTTGATCAGGGCCCCTCTTGTTCCTTTCTGCTGGTCCAGCATATTTGCAGCGCTGTGTTCCAGCACCACGTTTCAAGCGTCTGTTTCCCTCCTGTCAGCCGTCGCACCCTTGCGCTGTGGCCGAGAACACAGCAGTTGGATGGCCCTGGCCGTGGTCTCCCGTGAAGCGCCCTGACTCTGGAGGCGTTCTTGGTCCTTTCACTGCTGCCCTTTCCCCTCTCCGCCTTGCTTTGCTTTCCTGGCTGCATCTCCCTTCGGACGGGTGCCTGAGCCCGGGCATGCAGAGTCTTTCGGAATCTCGATTGCTTCATTGTTGACCGGAAGGTTCTCTCTAGCTGCGACGGTTGTTTTCTTAGTGTTCAGCTGCAGCAGCCCCACCTTTGCACTCGCTTTCCCTTTCCTCAGGAATCGCGTCGGCTCCCTGCTGCTTTCTGCCGGTGACGGAGCATCATCTGCCTATCTTCAGTTATCAGTATCTTACCTGACACTTTTCACACCTTCTTGCTCTGGTCCTAACCCAGCTTTCCTTCTGATATGTTCTGTGCACAGATTGAACAGACAGGGAGATAAAATGCATCCCAGTCTGACAGGTTTGTCTGCACGCAGCCCTCCTGGTTCCTGTGTTCTACCCTGACAGTGGCTTCTCTGCGATTCAGGCTGTGCTTTCAGGACCACACATGGCTTCTCATGATCTCATGGGCAAAGCATGGCCTGGTCTCGTGATCGACGTGCTGCAGTTGCCAGCATCTACCTGCAAGATGCTCCAGTGTGCCTCTCCCGTACCAGAATCCGCTTGAACTTCCGGCATTTCGTGCTCCTTGAACATAAAAGATTTTGTCACAGCACCTTGAGCATCGCTCTGCTTGCAAGCGACTTCCTTCCTTCCTTGGCTGGCCGATGCTTTCATTTCTGCCACCTGCCCCCGTGGCCAGAAGGGGCCCGTAGTTGCCGCGCTCCTTTGCATCTCCTTCCTCGGGACTGGGCTGGAGGTTGCGTGCTTCCAGCCGGTGGGCCAGTGCTTGGTTTTCCATATTTCATGGGTCAGTGAGTCCCAGATGGGATGTGGCCCTGTCCAGCCCCCGCAGCTTGGGATAGTTCTGCTGGTTTTGCATCTTTGCCAGTTCTGTGAAGCAGCGGGGGGCCCCCCTTGTTCCTGCTCCATGGGTGGGGGCTGAAAAGAAGCGATTTGGTGAATGGGGAAGTCGCCCTGGGGCAGAAGGGAGGCGCCACGGTGTCCCCTCCCGCCTTCCCACAAGGCTGCTGCTACGGGAAACCTTTGAGATGGGCGGGAGTTGCCTTCGGAAAAGGGGCGTGGGGGAAACCGCTTGGGAACGGGGTGGAAGTGCCGCAGCCCTGGTCCGGCCTCGCCCCTGAATAGCGGTGCCCCTCACAGTCCCCCGCTCTGGACTCAGTGTTGCTGCTGCGCATCTCAGCGGCCCTTGCAGAGCGAGCTGTCTCTAGCCTGCTTTCCTTTGAGCGTCACTGCGGCGATCCTAAACGCAGCCCCCTTCACCTGCTCTGCTCCAGAAGCTTCGGACTGCAGCTCCCCACGTTCCCGATGGTTGACTGTGCTGGCCGGGGTGGAAAGCCCTCCCCGAAGACACCTAGGGGCACCTGGCTGGAAAAGGCTGCCTTCTGTCGCATTAATGCTTGTGGGCAGGCCTAAGAGAACGGCCGCTGCCTCAGCCACCCCATTTGTGGCTACAGTGGGAGACGCGTCCCTCTATCAACACCTCAGAGGCCGCCACAGAGAGGAAGGTCCAGGTCTCTTCTGGCTGATGCCGGAGTGCAGGACACGGAAGAATCAGCTCAAGTTGTAACAGCCCAGATTCAGGCTGGACATCAGGAAAAGCTTCCTCGCTGCCGGAGCAAGAGGACAGGGGAACCAGCTGCCTGGGGAGGTGGGGGGCTTTCCCACACTGGAGACATTCAAGGCGAACCTGAGCAGCCTTTTGAGTGGGATGGCTGACTTGGTGTCCTGCAACAGCAGAGTTTGGACCTGAGGCCTTCCTGGCCCCCTCTAACTCCACGGTTCTCTGATGCTATGGGAACAGCTCATATCGACTGTACCCGTGCTGGGCAGAATGGAGGCTCTGGGCTGCTGGCCCTTCTCGGGCAGTAAGGCTGCGGGATCCTCTCTGGCAAGACCTTTCTGTGTTCCTGGACAAGAGCCAATATCCAGGATTGCTGAGCACGGCTGCTTCTGCTGGCTGCTGCGCGTGGTCTCTTGCACTCGGCATTCGAGGTACGTGGATGGGCCACCCTGTGGGCATCCCTGTGAAACGTGAAGGCGAAAGAGAGTGGGAGGAGCAGATGACTTGGAACCGAAGGCACGCCGCTCGTGCGAGGCCTTCGCCGCCTCTCCCGTTCCCAGGGATTGTGTCTTCTCTCAGGTCTTGGGTCCAGGATGTAACGAAGGGTCCGTTCCGCCCCGAACAGTGAGAAGCCAACTTCTTGCAAGAAAGGCCCGACGGCCCGAGCGCAGTGGTGCCCTCCCGGCCGTGTTTCCCGACCGCTGCTATAACATTTCCTTTTCCTTTCTAGCAGTGGCCGCATCGTCTCTCCCCCAGCCCATGAGCGGCACGGCGCAACACCCGGGCGTGCGCTGGGTCACAAACACTCTTCCCTGCTCGGCAGGACCGTTTGTCGTTCGCGTCGCTTTCATTGTCACAGTTTCTAAAATCTGGATTATTTGGCTTCTTGCGGCAAAATGAGATCCACTTGCTGAAATTGCATGTGAGCTCCTGAGGCTGTGCAGGCCAGCCCTGAAAAGCCAGCCTCTGCCTTGCCCTTTGAAGAGCTCGCCTGTCAAAGCTCCCCTGCAGGCATTCCTGGAAGGGCGAATGGCTCACTTGGGCAAGCGGAAGTGTTCGCTCTGCAGGCAGCTTGTGGACGCCTCTGCGTGCAAGGGGACAAATGGGGCTGTGAGCACTTGGAAGGGGTCCCCTGTAAGCAGAGCGCCTTGTGCAGGTCCAGGCCTCTCCCGCGTCAGCAGTGGCTCTGCTCACGCTGTGCTGGAGAGAGCTGGCCAGGCGTTGCAAGGCCGTGGGGCTCTTCGCTGCCCCCACCGTGGCCCCCAGGCCCGTGGCCGCTCTGGCCTCTAGGCGCCGCTTGAGGCCTTCCCCGGAATCGTGGAGGAGCTGAGTTGGAGGGGCGGGCGGCCGTCGGGCCTGGCCCCCTGCTCTTGCCCCGGATGCACCACCCCGCTCAGCGGCCGTCCAGACGCTTCCTGAGGGTCTCCGGCAAGGGAGAGCCCGCAGCTTCCCCGGGGAACGGGGTCGCGTTGAGCTACCTTTATTTTGCGCTTTCTCAAGGCATTTATACCGTGCCTCTCGGAGGGAACGCACGGTCGTGAACGGCTGCCCCCCATAACCATTCACGGCACTGCATTCCTCCGCG